CTGGGAACCAGTGAATGCAGCTCCTCTGAGCAATTGCCATGAAAGAATTTGTAAAAAAGACAGAGGCGACGGTGTGTCTGTGAGAGAGTGACTGTAGACGAGATGCCAGAGCAGGGCCAATTATATTGGATATCCGCCTCTGGAGCCTATCAAGAACCCTGAGGGGAAACAGAAGGGGCTCCAGACCATATATGGCAGTATTACTGTTAATTAACCTTGCATATAGTGTTTGTTTACATTATATTAGTTTTTTCTTACCTGTTCTTTTCTTTTTCTTGTTCATGTTTATTGCAAACTTTGTCAATTCTTTTTGTTCAGCAGTTCTGTCAATTATTTACATTTTAACCATGGTGCCTCTCTCTATCTCTCTCTATCTCTCTCTATCTCTCTCTATCTCTCTCTATCTCTCTCTATCTCTCTCTATCTCTCTCTATCTCTCTCTATCTCTCTCTATCTCTCTATCTATCTCTATATCTCTATATCTCTCTATCTATCTCTATATCTCTCTATCTATCTCTATATCTCTCTATCTATATCTCTCTATCTATCTCTATATCTCTATATCTCTCTATCTATCTCTATATCTCTATATCTCTCTATCTATCTCTCTATCTCTATATCTCTATATCTCTCTATCTATCTCTATATCTCTCTATCTCTCTATCTATCTCTATATCTCTCTCTCTCTCTATATCTCTCTCTCTCTCTCTATCTATCTATCAATGCATAACATCCAGATTAAATTCTAAAACATGCAAAAATAAATTTTTGGTTATTTAAATTGTAAATTTTAATGCATTATCCCCAAACTTGTTTGCTAAGAAGTATTTAGATCTGCTTTCCTCTTTGTTTTATATACAAAGTGAATGAAGTCATAAAGATATTGGGAAGTGAATTTTTTTTTTTTTTTTTTAAATTTAAAACTGGCCTATGGTGAAGTAATGAATAGCTGCTCAGATTGAGGGCTCGGAGAGCTGAATTTGAATTCCAGTCGAATCCATTACATTCACTTGTGTGCTTATACCCTTGGTAAAGGCATGAATCTGCTTCTCCCCCAACTATTGGTAAATAGCAGGACAGACCAGGTTCTATAGCCTTGGATGGCAACTGGTCTACTGCAGAAAGAAATGGCAACCTACTGCAGGAAAAAATCTGCCTCGTCAGTCATGTATTGAAAGATACATGATTGCCTAAGCATGTATCATGCATGGCACATAACTGACTTTAGGAGGCACGACAGAGTAATGGATATCGACTCGGATTGAAGAATCGGAGAAACAAGTTCGAACTCCAATAGAATCCATTACATTCAATTATGTGCTAATACCTTTAGTAAAGGCATGAATCCTCTTCTCCCCCAACTATTGGCAAATAGCTTCTGCTATGGGTAAATAGCAGGACAGACTGGGTTCTATAGCCTTTGATAGCAACTGGTCTACTGCAGAAAGAAATGGCAACCTACTGCAGGAAAAAATCTACCTCGTCAGTTATGTATCAAAAGATACATGATTGTCTAAGCGTGTATCATGCATGGCACATAACTGAATTTTCTCATGTGAAGGGGTACTTCCATCTGCCAAATAGGCCACCTGTTTACCATACACTATAGTTGAAAAATTTTCCACTTAAGTGTAAACCTGACCCATGTCTACTTATTGAGAGTTCATCATAACAACAGAATTCACTATTAAATAAACTGGAAATGGTTGATGTCGTAAGCCAAACAAAACCCCAAGAGCTTTGCTTATACAGAGTTCAAATGCAGTCGGTATTCAAATACAGCTATGATGATTTTGTCTACCCCTCCTACAATGAGAACTCACTTTATCAGTCTCTGTAATGATTAAAATGAACGCGAATTTGGATATATTTGATATTCATTTTATTTCTGTAGCAAATTTTCATGTATTTTTTTTTTTTCGTTTAAAATAACTTACAAAGAATTTTACAAACATTTGATTGTAACTTAGCAAAAAATGATACTTTAGAAGTGGTTGAGGGCATTTTGGTGAAACTGTTCAGAAAAAGGACGAAATTTAAAATTTCTCCAAATCTCTAGGACTGGGGCTGAATTGGCAGTGGATGATTTTCTTACAGATGAAGAGAAGATTTGAGTCAACATAGATACATCTTTACATAAAGATGCTTATAATAACATAGATCTCATATGTGATCAATGAGAGGGTTCTAAGGAAAATGGAAGCAAAAAAAAAAGGACATTTAAATCAGAAAGAGACAGTTGAAATTTCTATGCTGCATAATGAGGAAAGATGGCTTGGATACTTTGACACTCAAAAGGACAAAGGCAGGAATAGCAGAGGGGGAAACTGAGTAACCTACATAGTTTGTGTAAATGGATGGCAGGACTGGGCAGCATAGTAAATATGTTTTGCTAAGAGCTACAAAAGATAGGAAGTTGTGAAGAGCCATGATTGTCCACCTCCTGAAAGAACACAGCACATAAGAAGAGCCATAAAAATTCAAAATTGTGTGTGACATGATGTTAAAGACAGAAAAGCCCTGATGAATTTCTCGATAAATAGGTATTGTAAAATAAAATAGTCCATTATATGCCGTGCGTGATACGTGCTTAGGCTATCATGTATCTTTTGATACATGACTGACAAGGCAGATTTTTCCTGCAGTAGGTTGCCATTTCTTTCCGCGGTAGACCAGTTGCTATCCAAGGCTATAGAACCCAGTCTGTCCTGCTATTTACCCTTAGCAGAAGAGGATTCATACCTTTCCCAAAGGTATTAGCACATTGGAATTTGAACTTGGCTCTCCGATTCAGTTATGTCATACGTGATACATGCTTAGGCTATTGTGTATCTTTTGATACATGACTGACGAGGCAGATTTTTTTCCTGTAGTAAGTTGCCATTTCTTTCTGTGGTAGACCAGTTGATATCCAAGGCTATAGAACCTGGTCTGTCCTACTATTTACTCATAGCTAGCGGGTGGGGAGAAGAGGATTCATACCTTTCCCAAAGGTATTAGTATGTAAGTGAATGTAATGGATTTGAATTCCAGTCAAATCCATTACTTTCACTTACATACTAATACCTTTGGGATGTGAATTTACAGAAATGTTTTTCAAACTAAACCTTTCGTAAAGAGCCTGGTTCGTATCTAGATGGGTGACTACTTGGGAAGACCAGGTGCTGTCAGCTTGGATGTGTGGGAGACTCTGAATTGGAGAGTAGTTTCAATTTCAATTTGGTTCATGATATTCACTTCCATACAAAAGGCCTTGAGAAAGGTATGAATCCACCTCTTTCCCCCCTAGCTATGGGTTAATTAGTAAGCTAAGCTGTGTATCACTAAATTGTTATCTGCAAAGTAAATTCTTATCTAAAAAAATGTTTTCTGGTTTTAAATAACCTGCAAAGTATTGATAAGCAGTAGAAAATGAATCTATCTATCTTTTCATAAGTATAATGGGGAATTTTTTTTTTTTTTTTTTAAAGTAAATACTGAAAATTGAATTAGTTTTCAATTAGTTGAATTTTACATTTTTAAAATTGTAAATATATCTATTGCAATATGTCTTATTTTGAAAAAAGGTACAGACATTTTAAAAATGTAAACAATTTCAAATGCATATAAGTTTGTTTCTGCGAAAAGGTGAAACATTTTCTCTCCCTCCCCCAATCCTTTTCACTGATATAAATATTTTGGAAATTAAATATAAACTTTTTTGTTAGAGGTATTCAATGATTTAGTTATATATAAAATGTATGTATGTATGTATGTGTGTGTGTGTGTGTATGTATATATATATATATATATATATATATATATATATATATATATATATATATATATATATATATGTGTGTGTGTATATGGTTAGGTAAATGAAATAAATAGATATTAGCAATCATTATACTTGCGTGCATACACAGGTAGGCAAATAATTACCAAATTTTGCCAAGAGGTGTTGACATAATAGTGGTTTATGTGGTTAGACAGAACTAAGAAATATATATTAATAAATATACATAAACCCATGTTAGATTTAGGTGACTTAAGTTTCATTGGTTACCTAACTCATCGGGCATGAGATATAGGCTATGTCTTGTGCCTGATGAGTTGGGTAACCAACAAAACTTAAGTCGTTTATATATATATATATATATATATATATATATATATATATATATATATATATATATATATATAATTTTTTTTTTTTTTAACTTCTGATGTAGACATGTTAAGGTCTCTTTTGCACATTTAAGATTTCAGTTTCAATTCAAATATTCTATATGCCATGTCTCCGTAATGTTGGTGATCATGGCTCTCCACAATTTCATGTCCTTTATAACTCTTAATCAGTTTTTTTTTTCTTTCCTAAACTCTGTTCCAACATCCATTTACTCAAGCTTGCTACGTAGGTTATGCATTGTTTTCTATCCCACTAGCCTCCAATCTGTCCTGTAAGGATCTAATTTTCCAAGCCCTTTTTCCTCATTATGTCCTCTATAAACTTCAACTGTCTCTTCCTGATGTTAAGTACAAGTGTCCTTTTTCTTTCCATTTTCTTGAAAATATTGCTCACATGTTTAGTCCATGGTATTCTCAGCATCCTTCTGTAGAACTGTATTTTTGTTGTTTGAAGTCTCTGTGAGAGAAGATTGTCCAGCATTCACTGTCGTATAGGAAGACTAATATTACATAACAGTTCAGTACTCTTTTCTAGGTTTCTAATGAAATTTTCCTATTTCTTGATACTTTGCTTATCTTTTGGAAGGCATCTTTTACTATCTCAATGCACCTTCAGATTTCAGTGTCAGACTTTCTGTCCTCTGTTAAAACCGGATATTTAAATTGCACTTGTTTGATTTTGGTATTTGTAATTTGCATGTTAAGCTGTTTCTTTTGTTAACAACCATGCATTCTGTTGTTTTGCAATTGAAATTCAAATATTACAGTTAAAAAAAAAGTAGTGTTTTATTAGGTACATGCAAAAATTTCCAGTACCCAGGAAGGCTTATAACCATATCATGTTGAAACACTGGTTCCATATGATCACCAAAGTTAAGCAACATCAAGCCTGGTCAGTACATAGATGGGTGGCTGCTTGGGAATACCAGTGGCTGAAATCTTGGATGTGCAGTTGATGTAATAGATAACTGATTGGAATTGGAAATTATAGAAGAGTACCAATTCCAATCATGTTCATTATATTCACTAGCATGCAGAAACGCTTGAAAAAGGCATGAAACGACCTTTACTCCCCCCCTGGCTATGGGTTAATTAGTAGGACTTATGTCAGTAAATCATTATCTTCAAATAAAAAATATTGTGGATTTAAATAACCTGCAAAAAGTTGATAGGCTATTAAAAGTCAATCAATGCAGCTACCCAGGGGCATCTGGAGGCAGTGGTGAGTTATTACTCTCAACCCACCTCAGCACAAACACCACGGCTTAAATTTAAGGTGAAAGTGGAGTTTCTTATTCTACTAATTGTGTAGTTGACATATTTGTCTAAAAATATGACAAGTGAGTTAATAAAGCAATAAGTAGATACATAAAGAATGAAAATATGTTGTTCTAACCTACTTATTTGACCCAAATTTTTAAAATTGACTTTGAGTAAAAGTTTCCTTTTTTTTTCCTCTTTCTTTCCCCTCTTTCCCTTTTACTTTTCCTCCCTTTTTCTTTTTTCCCCTCTTTCCCTTTTTCTTTTTTCCCCTCTTTCCCTTTTTCTTTTTTCCCCTCTTTCCCTTTTTCTTTTTCCCTCTTTCCCTTTTTTCTTTTCCCCTCTTTCCCTTTTTTCTTTTCCCCTCTTTCCCTTTTTTCTTTTCCCCTCTTTCCCTTTTTTCTTTTCCCCTCTTTCCCTTTTTTCTTTTCCCCTCTTTCCCTTTTTTCTTTTCCAAAAGAATTTAGAAATAAAATATATACTTCCAAGTGACTATAAAATTAAAAATAATACTCCTGAACTTCCTAAAAGATTGAGGGAGTGAACAAAATGCTACTTTTGCTTGTACAGAGCCAGTTGATGTAACTTAATTTGATGATGAGCAAACTAGGATCTGTGCAAAACCGAAAGAATTGTTCATATATTTATTCGCAGTCTAGGTTGTCAAGCAAGTGCTGACCAAATCATTATATATCTATATGCTAGCAAAGGGACTTAAGCCTTGAATGGCGGCCTTCTTAGATATCCGTAAATCATGACACATTCCTTTGTCAAGTAGGACCTACATTGGTTTTGTGCAAGATTAATCCCAATCCTGCCGTAACAAAAAATAGTATCTATTTACGTCTGTATTTTAAATAACTATTCTTCAAAATATCAACTCTATTCAGACTAATGTATTCAAGGAAAGTTTTAGTACTTTTACACAGTAAATAATTTTTTTTATGACAATCTTATAAATTTTATTTAAGCTGCATTTCAAAATACCTGTTTCCTTAATTACAAAGTAGGATGTATGTTAAGTGATGACATAGTTATCTCCCTTGTTGGAAGAACTCTCCTAGGCCAAACTATTATAAATAGTATCCATTCTTCATTGAAAAAAAAAAAGAAGCTTCCTAAGCTCTACTACTCTCTCAAGTCTTATAGGTAGCATAATGGTTTTTACTGTGGGAAGTGTAAACGGCGATCAGTTCAAATTTGTACTTAGCTGCATTCATTTTTGCACTAATGCCCTTGGTAAAGGCATTAATCAATGTATTTCCTCCTCCTTAAGTTATGAATAATAGGGTTTCTAAAAGAAATAGGAATTTTAAAATTTCTTTTAAGTATTGTTTGTATTTTATATACAAAGGACTGACTTAAACAGTTCAAATTGACAGATTAAGCAATCTATTTATAATGAATTGTAGCTACCAAATTGAGCCCTTCCAACTACTAGGAGAAAGGATAGTAGATATTGATATGTGTATATGTATTCATCTGTTTGGTATAAAATCTGGTTCACACTCCTGTCTGGAGTGATGAACAGGAGTAGAGTTTATCCCTTGATTCCTGTTTAGGACAGGATTTCCAGTTCCTTCCAAACTCTACTTTCAGACTATACTTCTAACGTCTTTGACTGATCTCTGAAATGTTATTCACTTATTAAATCTTGACGTCTTTAAGTCTAAAGTTAACTATTATCTTTCCCGCATAGCAACAGTAAATTCACTTCATGCCTTTAGTTATGCACAAATGACATCACACAGTACCCCTCTGTGGTCAAAAGAAGTTTCTTCCCTGTATCCACTTCATCGTTCGTTTGTTTGTTCGTTCGTTCGTTAGTCCTATGGCAACCGCACATGTCATACAATGTACCCCCAACAGAAGGCACCTCTTATCTCCACGATGGTCTACTTATAATCACGAGTCACCAATCACTTGCCCAGATGATAAGCATATTAGACATACAGGCACCTCAGAATAGAACACTAACATATCTGGATGTCCCTCCTCGATTCTGTTCAATTATGCTAATCTTATGTAAATTTTCTAATGACCCAATTTCTTGTGGGACAGCAAAGAAGGATGTCTTTTGATGGCACGACAAACTCACCTTCTCTCGAGTTGAAGTCCTCTCTTTCGTTGAGAATAAGGCAAATCTTGTTCACCGTTTCTGCCATTTGACTTTGGTTCTGGTTCACTATGTCTGCTATACCTTCTACATTGAGTGACTCTTGGGCCTTGTATTGGCTGGACATTAATGAAAAAAAAAATAATAATAAATAAAAAAAATGACCCATCATGGTTGATATTTTGCTAAACAAAATCTAACCAAGCAACTGTCAAGTTATAACTGGGTAGGCTGATCTCACTAAACTTGGGTGGCAACCAGTCTAAGAGAAGGAAAATACTGAATTCTAAATGGTGGAGAAGGCAGTGGGAAACCCCTTTCTTTCCTTGGAATCCATGGTGATTCAGAATCACCATGGATTCCAAGGAAAGAAAGATACGGAGATAAGATACAGAGATAAGAACATAAAGTGAAATAAACTTTTAAAGTACAATCTGTTCAGATATTAAAGCAAAAATGTTTGATTTCTCATAGAATTCAACTCTAATTATATCGTTTGTCTAATTTAGCTTCAGTTAGACTCCTACAGCATTTGATTCTCTGATTCAGTTAGATAAGTTAAATTTTATAATTAAAGCTCATTTCTTTTCTTTTTTTGTCTTAATCATTTCACCCCAAACAAGGCAATAAAGCCACTAAGACAGAAGGGGTTACTGAGTGTCAGAGAATACAAGAGAGAAAAAAAAAACGGTATTCAATAAAAGAACAGGAATTAAGAAGACAAAAGATAACAATTGATATTGCATTTAAATTTTTGAAGATCAAAATTACTGAAAAGCGAGAAGCTGGAAAAGAGACTTCCACAAGTGAGACGTGCAAGAGAAGAAACTGTCATCATAAAACTTATAGTGACATCTATCCATTTCAACTGTAAGATGGTGAGACCTTACCGCCAATCTAGTACTGTGCTTAAATTCCTAAAGTCTACATACCATTGAGGAAAGTTCATCAGAGCAATTACAATGAAAGTATTTATAGAAAAGGCACAGGGAAGCTACATTATGGTGGCAGGAAAGTGACTGAAGCAGAACCAATAACATTGCTGATTCTTCTTTGGATTTTATCAAAGATCTCTAAATCTATCGCAGAAGCACCAGACCAGATACAGCAGGAATATTCAATGTATGTACGAATAGTGGACTTATGTGTAAAATAGATTCCGTTGAGAAAAATTATCTAGCATGACACAATGAACCAACTTTCCTACCTGCAGACTTAGCAATTAATTCAATCTTTCTTCTTCATGCCAGTGGAAAATATTAGAAGGCACAATGAGTCCCTCTCCTGGAGGTTAGCATCAGCCATGCTAATGGAAGGCAAAAAGGTTCTCTCAGACAATTGAAAAAGCAGTTTTGTTTTGATGTTAAAATTAACAAGCTGTTCCTTGCCTCATTTAACATCATTTTTAGATCAGCTTTAATGGAATTGAAAAAGAATAAGACTTTAGTAAGGAGAAAGGACAATAAAGGAACAGGAGTTTGGAAAACAAAAAATGGCAATTGTCATTTCATTTAAATTTTTAAAGATTGTACATGGCAGGGAAAAAAGAAACCAGAAGAGTTCCTCAGGTGAAAAGTGACAGGAAAAAAATTTTTTTTTTACATTTATGGTTATATGTCGCTATTTCAACAGTAAAACCTAATGGGACCTAATTGCCAATCTAGTAGTATGCTTAAATTAATGTGAGCAAGGCACCAAGGAGAATAGTTCATTAGAACTGCCATGAAAATATTTATAGAAAAGACAGAGGAAAGGCACATAACAGGGGATGGGATAGACTGAAATTGAGATACCAGGTTAGAACCGATAACATTGTAGACCATTCTTTGAATTTTGTCAAAAATCTTGAGATATATGGCTAGAGCAGCAGACCAGATATGGCAGCAATATTCCATGCATGGATGAATGGTAGATTTACAAATGTGCAAGATTGATTCTGACAAAAAAAAAAAATGTCTGGCAAAATGAAATAAACCAACTTTCTTAGTAGCAGACATAACAATTGATCCAATATAAAATGAGACCAAAAAGACACAATGAGTTGCTCTCCTGTAGGTTAGCATCAGCCATACTGATGGAAGGCAAAAATAGTTCTCTATGATGACTAAAAGATAACAGTTTCATTTTGGAGGTATTAAAATTAACAAGTCATTTCTTGCCCCATCTAACAACTGATTAGAAGTCATCTTTGAGAGCAGGTGCCAGTTTTACTTTATTTGACTTACTATTAAGAGACTAGTAAATAGTCGTATCATCATTATAAATATCTAGTTGGGAACTAATGCCATTGGGAAGGAAGGAAACAACAAGAATAGAATCTTAGGGAAGTCGTGCATGAAGTGGTCTAGAAGTATAGCTATTCAGCACAATCTTCATTAACAATATTCGGATTAAGTCAAATATTTCTAGTCCAGAAATACTGTAGGTATTGATCAGAAGAAGGTCAGCATGCCACACCCTATCAAATGTTTGAGATATCTAAAGCCACAACCTGAGCCTCATTGTAATCTAAAGTTTAATAGACAAATTCAGTAATAACTTGACACATCAGTAGTTGACCT